TCACAGAAGAGATATTGTACAACCAAGAAAGAATTGTTAGCAGTAGTGGTATTTGTCAAACAGTACCACCATTATCTATGGGGAAGACCCTTTAAGATAAGAACCGATCATACATCGTTGACTTGGTTAGTCAATTTCAAGAACTTGGAGGGGATGGTAGCGCGATGGATAGCATTATTAGATACGTACGGCTTTGAAATTGAGCACCGGAAGGGACAGCATCACCAGAATGCAGATGCGTTGTCACGTAAGACAGTAAGGAAATGCCCTAAAGAGAACTGCCCAGATAGCAGGCATGGAATGATGGGAGAGGATGCCCGACCAGCAATAGAGATGCACTCAGGGGAAGAGGAAACGCACGTTCATGAGGAAAGTGGTTCATGAGGAGAAGAGGAAAGTGATAGAGATGAACCACCCAGCTGCAGTGAGAGAAGAGAGGATTCTACATGGAGAGATAAACCACCCAGCTGCAGTGAGGGAAGAGAGGATTCTACATGGAGAGATAAACCACCCAGCTGCAGTGAGGGAAGAGAGGATTCTACATAGAGATATAAAACCACCCAGCTGCAAGGAGGAGAAAAGGAGGGATTCTACAGGCAGAGATAAACACCAAAGCTGCAGGTGAGGGAAGAGGGTATTCTTACAGGACAGACATAGAAACCACCCAGCCTGGCAAGGAGGGAAGGCAGAGGGATTTCTACATAAGAGATATAAACCACCCACGCTGCAATGAGGGAAAGAAAGGATGTCTACATGGAGAGCATAAACCACCAGGCTGCATGTGGGGAAGAGAGGTTTTCTTTACATGCGAGAAATAAACCACCCAGCTGCGCAGTGCAGAAGAGAGCGATTTACATAGGAGATTATAAAACCACCCAGCTGCAATGAGGGAAGATTGCAGGAATTCCTACATGGAGAGATAAAACCACCCATCTGCAGTGCGGGAAGAGACGATTCTACATGGACGAGATAAACCACCCCAGCTGCAGTGAGGAAGAGAGATTCGACTTGAGAGAGAGTAAACACCAGCGCAGTGAGGAAGAGAGGATTCACAGTAGAGAAATAAACCACCCAGCTGCCAGTGAGGAAGAGAGAGATTCTACATGGAATATAAACCACCCAGCTGCAATGAGGAAAGAGAGGATTCTACAGTGGAGAGATAAACACCAGCTGCAGTGGCGGGAAGAGAGATCTACATGGCAGAGATAAACCACCCAGAGCTGCAGGGGGAAGAGAGGATTGCTACTGGAGAGATAAACACCCAGCATGCACGTGAGAGAAGAGGCAGAGCATTCTACATGGAGAGATAAACCACCAGCCTGCAGTGGGGAACAGAGGATTCACATGAGAGATGAAACCACCCAGCTGCAGTGAGGGAAGAGAGGATTCTACATGAGAGCATAAACCACCAGCTTGCATGTGGGGCGAAGGAGAGAGCGGGATTCTACATGGAGATATATAAACCACCCAGGCCAGTGGGGAAAGAGAGATTCTACATGGAGAGAGAAACACCCAGCTGCAGTGAGGGAAAGAGGATGTCTACATGGAGGAGATAAAACCACCCAGCCTGCCAGTGAGGGCAAGAGAAGTCTACATGGATGAGATGAAACCACCAGTGGCGTAATGGCGAGGAAAGCGATTCTTCATGTGAGGATAAAAAAATCCGCGTGGCAGGTGTGGGTAGTAGACCCGCAGCTGCGACAGGAGCGCGAGAGGATCGCAGACGAGGAATCCACAAGGATCCAGGGGGCAGGACCATGATGTATGCGAACGCCCAGGAAAAATATTAGGAGATTACAGATAAGACCTGTGATTGTCTTACTTCAAGGAACGAAAAGAAGCCGGCGTTGGCGACAGACCTGAGTTTCGCCAGAAATTGCAGGAATAGGGTACAGGAGGCCAAAAGCATACTGGCCGAGCATGGAATCCAATCTAGAAGTTCAGAAGTAAATTGTATAGACGATCGGAGACGCCAGTCACGCCTACTTCAGCTGGTGATACCTAAGGAATTGCAAAGAAAAATATGTCCAGCGATTACATTACCATCGTACACCGGACATGCAAGGGAGAGAAAACG